ACCCAGGGGATCTCGCAGGAGCAGGGGCCTCCTGCTTGCCCACCTCCAACCCCTTCTTCTGTGGCTAATGGCATGACCACCCTGCCAGCTCCAGGGAGTTCGGTCTTCCCAGGGGCATGCTGCTTCCACCCTGTTGCCCTCCTGGGGTCTCTACCGTCCCTGGAACCCAAGTGGGCAGGATTCAGCTACTTCACAGTTAGCTGGCTTTGGAGAAAGGCAGAGTTCCCACAACAACTCTGGGTGGGGCTTGTGCCTTTAGCAGGAAGACCTCCCCAGTTTGTTCTCAGCTCACAGGTTAAGTGTGGTTTGCCTAAAAGACTACAAAACCGGCTTTAGCCAAACCATCCACCCTCCTGGGCCCCGGGTTCCCAGGGAAGAGGGAGTGGCAGCCCAGCTGTAGCTCAGCCAGATCTCGCACCAGCCCCAGGCCACCGCCTCAGCACGCTGGGATGAGGGGGCTCTGGCAAGCGGAACCCCTTACACCCACTGTGGTGACTCTTGGGTCTTTGCCTACAAGGCCAAGAACAAGAACCTGGCCCCCTTACACCTTGTCCACCTGGCAGGGACTCTGGAGGTGGGGGTGGTGCCTCCCAGTGGACAAGCCCACAGAGGCCTCCAGGGGCTCCTCACATCCCTGTCTCTGGAGAGGTGGGGACAACAGCCCCAAGCCCCCCAAGGACAGGACAGGAGCAAGGAGACACAGTCTGTCTACCACGTGCAGGGCCACACCTCCGCGCTGCCAGCGACAGGCCATGTGACTGCCGTGAGGACAGAGGCCCCACAGAGATGGAAGCCCCGGGCCCCTCAGGACACTCGTGGGGCTCACAGGGCCCCCGCTGCCAGGCCATAGGGAGCTGGAGCACGAGGACCTCTGCCACGCAGTATGCCGTGAGCTGGGACAACAGGTAGCAGTGACCACCAGCTCCCTGGACTCAAGTCACCTGACCCATGGAGGCACATCCCTGGGTGGCTCTGCCTTACAGCTGACTCATAGGGGTCCCCACGGCACAGAGAGGGGACCCTGAAGCCCCATCCTGAGCACACACTTCTGTCCTGGGCACCACCCTGACATCTCTGCAGCCTTTTCCCCTCAATGTCCAGGGCCCACAGCTCTGTGTTCCGGCTACAGGAGCCTGGGCAGAGGAAAAGCATTCCTCCTGCTGGCACCCAGCACCCCTGGGAAACCTGAGGCACCCCACATCTCTACCCCAGGTCAGACCCCTCAACCCCTCCCTGGGCCCAGCCCCTCCCTGGGTGCTACTGGCCTCACAGGTGAAGGTCCCAGAGCAGTCAGGACCCCTAGTATAGAGAGGACTGTCCCTCACCTGCCCCAGCCTTGCTCTGTGAGGGAGGCCCAGGCCACCAGCTGACCATGGGTAGGGAAGCAGCTTCGACTCAGCACAGGACATGGTGACCATTCTGTCCAGCCTTTGAAGAAGGTGCCAGGCCCATGACGTGTCTGTCGCGGACAAGGAAGCCTGGGCTCAGAGCATTCGGGAACTCTGCTGAGGTGGCCGGACCATGGGGGTGCTGTTCAGATGGGAAGGCTTCCGGCTCTACATGCACACACCTGCCAGCCCCTCGTTCAGCGTCCTGCACCAGGTCACCAGGGGCTGTGGACCCTCCTCTGTGCACCAGGGAGGGTCTGCCCCAGTGAGGTCTCCAAGCTGTCACCACCTTGATGCCAACCCCACTGCCTCCCAGTGTGACAAGGCAGTCCATTATCCCAGGACAGAGTGCTGTGCCCCCTAACTAATACAGGTCCCCATTAGGTCCTTCCCACACGGACAAGGCAGACCCAGATGTCCGGGGGCGTGTAGGGCAGGGTGTCTCTGGGCAGCCAGAGAACCAGGCCAGATCAGGCCCAGCGGAGGCAGCACTGGGAGAAGGATGGCCTGGAATGTCAGGGCCGAGGAACGGGCTGGGGGGTCTCAAAGAGGAGGATGCAAAAACGACTTGACAGCCCGCCCCCCATGTGGCCCCGTCCTCCCCCACCCCTCCCATTCTCGCTCACAGGCCCTCTTGTGTGGTGGCCCATAATAGGCCACCTGCAGAGGGACAGGCAGGACCAGCCCAGTGACGTTCTAGAGCCATAAATGATTAACACGAACTGAAGGTGCCGCCAAAGCCACCGGAACGTTCTTGAGACCTGGAAAAGCCAGGGCAGAGGGCAGGACAGGAGGGACAAGGCAGCCCTGTCAACAACTCACTCCTCACCTGCCCCTCACCCCTCTTCTGAGCGGCCCAGCCCCAAGGGTCCAGCCTGAGCAGGGACACAGAGCGGGCAAGGGTCGGCCGCCCCCGAGCTCACAGGGCCACCTGGCTCAGCCTCGTACCTCCTGAGGGACCAAAGTAAACTGAGGCCCAGAAAAGACAGGACTTCCCCAGGTCAAGCACCAAGGGCGGCAGATGGGGCGAGGCAAAGAAGGGGCCTAAGCCCACAGTGCTGCACCTCCCAAGAAGGAGCAGGGAGGGCGAGTAGATGGGGACAGGGACAAAGGGGGAAAGGGGACAGAGAGGACAGGAGGAGGGAAGAGCAGCCCTAGGCTCCTGTAACTTGAAGCCTCCTGCAGCCAGAGCCTTCAGGGGAGGGCGTGGAGGCTGGGAGTGAGCTGCCACTCGCCCGCCCGCTGGCCCCTGCACTCCCCCCTGCAGGCCCCTGATCCAGGCAGCTAGGACCCCAGGGTCAGGGCTCTGCCTGGATTCCTAAGCCCTCAGCACCAAGGGAGGGGACAGGCATCTAGCAGGTGTTCCACCCTCAGCTGAGGTCCCCATCCAAGCCAAGGCTGCTGTTCCCAGGCTCTGGCCCAAGTGGGGACAACGCAGAGGGCTGAGGAGCAGGACTGGGGGTGCGGAGGGGCAGCCATGCCAACAAGGGGCAGTGGGTGGGGTGGGGACAGGGACAGCCAGGACGAATGCAGGAAAGTCATTCCAGGTGCAGTGGGACAACACTCTCCCCCCATCACTACCCTATGTCCACCAATGAGACCTTTCTCTGCCACCACCTCATCCGATTTTCACAGCAACCCTGGTGGCTGGGCCTTGCACCCCAGCATGGGTGGGAGGGGGCGGGGACAGGCCCCATCCACCCCAACGTGGGCAGTCTCTCAGTGGGGGTGCTGTCTCTCTGCTTCAGCTGGTCTGTGATCCCAGCTCCAAGAGAGCACCTGGGGCCCTGTCGATGTCCAGGAGATGTTGGGGGATGAGAGACACCCTCGAGGACCCCATCCAGGGGGTTCCCTGAGTCCCACCCAGGCTGGAGGGGACTTTAGCAGCATGTCGACAGCCATCCCTGGGGCCTGGCACGGCTCCGAAGGGCCGTGAGTGAGAGGTTGGCCTGAGTTCACCTCCCTTGGGGAAGCCTAGAGGTGCCCTGCCTCTGCTCCACACGAGCTCCTCAGCGGACTTCCGTGAGCAGAACAATCAGAGCCAGGAAGAAAAGTGAGGTGAAGCAGGGACTTCCTCTGGTCCCCAGTCCCCTTCCTCCAGTGGAGCAGTGGCCGACCGTGCATGCTCCCGGAGGAACCAGCGGTGGCACCCTGTCACAGCAGCCCCTCGAGGGCCCTGCCACACTGGCCCCTTGGCACTTGAGGCCCAGCACTGGCACCCAGAGCTTCAGGATAGTCAGCCTGCAGGGCCTCCTCCAGGGGCTGCTGCTCGGCCTTCCTGGGTTTCTCAGGGCTCTGGGAGGCAGGAGGCATTCACACAGCTGTACCCACAAACCTGGCCTGGGCCTGACACCCACTTGGGTGGGTCCCTTGGGTCACCACTTGGGTGACTGCACACCAATACCCCTAAACCCAAGTCCAGTGACTGCTGCTGCAGCCCCAGGCATGGCCCAGGGGTCCCCAACACTCCAGGAGACAGGCACGGGGTGGGAAAGGGGCTTTATGGCTGGACGGGGCCTCAAGACTTGCCCCAAAGCCCTGGAGGCCTCTGTTCTGGACACAGCACCCCAACACCACCAGCGCCCACACAGCAGCAGCTCCGCCATCCACTTCACATTTGAAGACGGAGCTCTAAGTTGCTGGGAGCCTGGCTGGTGGCCCCTGGAAGGCCCTTGCCCAGGCCCAGCTGAGTACATAAGCACACACAGGAAGCCCACCCTGTGCAGCACCCAGAGGAGACCAGCTGATCCAGTACCCACAGGCTGGAGGCTGGCACAGTACCAAGAGGCAGTTGGCTGGGCAGCCAGGAAGTACAGCCACCAGGGTGGGGTGGGGGTGGGGGCAGGGCTCCAGGCAGGGACCAAGGCCAATGGCCTGACCTTGGTGGGGGGGGCACTTCCTCAGGCCCTTCCTCAAGACTCCTGTCTGCGTCAGGCAGAATCAAAACCACCTGGGCGGCAGCTGCAGGGCCAGGTGCCACATCGCCCCTCGCTAGGCCTTCTGGACACACCTGTGTTCTGGGAACCTGGCCCACCACCGTGCTGGCTGCCCCTGTGAGGAACCATCCCCTTCTCCTCCATCCACCTGACCCAGGTGGTCTTGAGCTTGGTTCCTGTGCCCAGGTGGCCCTGGGCACAGGAATGGCGTGCTGCCCAAAGCGAACCCCACTGGACCCGCCGCCTGGCAGAGCAGTCCCCCTCCAGGGGCCCCAAAGAGACCGGCCAGGATCCAGGATGTGGCCTTTCCGGCTGGGGCTTCCCGCCCCAACGGGTTTCCACCCACCCCAGGGCGAGGCTGGAGGCACAGCTTCTCTCCCGCGAGGATTAACACCTGGACTGGCCCCAGGAGGCATGGGCGCCCCGAGACAGACACAGACACACACACACACACACACACGGACTTGGGCAGGGCGTGCGCGGCGCTTTCACCCCCGCATCCTGCGGGCCCACACAGAGACCCTGATAGGCTCAGGCCACCCGCCCTCCCTTCCTCCGTTTGCCCAATAACGCCTTCCCCCCGCCGGCGGCCCGGGCGGCAGCAGGTGGCAGTGGGCGCCCGCGCCCCTACCCGCGTAGAGAGCGCCCCTCGCGCCACCCGCCCCGGGGTACTCACACGGTGAAGTGGTAGACGAAGCACTTCCAGCCGGTAGGACGCTCCAGGAAGTTGTAGACGCGGCCCTGGACGTGGGTGCGCGCCAGCAGCGGGCGGCGCACGCTGTAG